CTGAGAGTCGAAGATCAAAATGAATTTTTTATGAGAAAGCCACAAAATTTGATAAACACAAGCCTATCCGATGTTATCCTGATGCCAAATGACTTCGAACAGGCGATAAATGACATGCCCATGCACTCTGCCCCAGGGCCAGACTCATGGAACTCCGTGTTCATCAAGAACTGCAAGAAGCCCCTATCACGAGCCTTTTCCATCCTATGGAGAGGGAGCATGGACACGGGGGTCGTCCCACAGTTACTAAAAGCAAAAGACATAGCCCCACTCCACAAAGGGGCAGTAAAGCAACAGCAAAGAACTACAGACCAATAGCACTAACATCCCATATCATAAAAATCTTTGAAAGGGTCCTAAGAAGCAAGATCACCACCCATCTAGAAACCCATCAGTTACACAACCCAGGGCAACGTGGGTTTAGAACAGGTCGCTCCTGTCTGTCTCAACTACTGGATCACTACGACAAGGTCCTAAATGCACTAGAAGACAAAAAGAATGCAGATGTAATATTTACAGACTTTGCAAAAGCCTTCGACAAGTGTGACCATGGCGTAATAGCGCACAAAATGCATGCTAAAGGAATAACAGGAAAAGTCAGTCGATGGATCTATAATTTCCTCACTAACAGAACACAGAGAGTAGTCATCAACAGAGTAAAGTCCGAGGCAGCTACGGTGAAAAGCTCTGTTCCACAAGGCACAGTACTCGCTCCCATCTTGTTCCTCATCCTCATATCCGACATAGACAAGGATGTCAGCCACAGCACCGTGTCTTCCTTTGCAGATGACACCCGAATCTGCATGACAGTGTCTTCCATTGCAGACACTGCAAAGCTCCAGGCGGACATCAACCAAATCTTTCAGTGGGCTGCAGAAAACAATATGAAGTTCAACGATGAGAAATTTTAATTACTCAGATATGGTAAACACGAGGAAATTAAATCTTCATCAGAGTACAAAACAAATTCTGGCCACAAAATAGAGCGAAACACCAACGTCAAAGACCTGGGAGTGATCATGTCGGAGGATCTCACCTTCAAGGACCATAACATTGTATCAATCGCATCTGCTAGAAAAATGACAGGATGGATAATGAGAACCTTCAAAACTAGGGAGGCCAAGCCCATGATGACACTCTTCAGGTCACTTGTTCTATCTAGGCTGGAATATTGCTGCACACTAACAGCACCTTTCAAGGCAGGTGAAATTGCTGACCTAGAAATGTACAGAGAACCTTCACGGCGTGCATAACAGAGATAAAACACCTCAATTACTGGGAGGGCTTGAGGTTCCTAAACCTGTATTCCCTGGAATGCAGGCGGGAGAGATACATGATTATATACACCTGGAAAATCCTAGAGGGACTAGTACCGAACTTGCACACGAAAATCACTCACTACGAAAGCAAAAGACTTGGCAGACGATGCAACATCCCCCCAATGAAAAGCAGGGGTGTCACTAGCACGTTAAGAGACCATACAATAAGTGTCAGGGGCCTGAGACTGTTCAACTGCCTCCCGGCATACATAAGGGGGATTACCAACAGACCCCTGGCAGTCTTCAAGCTGGCACTGGACAAGCACCTTAAGTCGGTACCTGACCAGCCGGGCTGTGGTTCATACGTTGGATTGTGTGCAGCCAGCAGTAACAGCCTGGTTGATCAGGCTCTGATCCACCAGGAGGCCTGGTCACAGACCGGGCCGCAGGAGCATTGACCCTCGGAACTCTCTCCAGGTAAACTCCAGGTATTCATTTCCACATAGAATAAAGGTGAAGTAATCCTTATCTGCTGTGAAGCCAGCTGTACTATTTTCTTGCTTGCTAATTTACTTTGCTGATGGCATAGCTCCCATGATAGCTCTGTCTCATCATCATTAAACACTTGGTTTGAACAGTAGCCATTCTCAGAATTAATTTACACACTCACCATGGTAATTTCACATAGCTATGTTGATTGTTCTTTTTGAAGATTTCAAACCATCTGTCACTAAACATTAACTCTTGAGAAGGCTCACCTTCATTCTCACAATTTTATTTTAGTATTGAGCTTTGTGCCTTATTATCCGAGCACTAAGCAGGGCCCCTTTCCTTGTTTTCTTCTCACTCCACACATTCAAAAACTGTTCTGTCTTATTTCCTCCCTCATGGAAGGTACCTTAATGCCAGTAAGGGGCTCTTGAAGATGGAACTGACCTTGGATCAACCCTAATTGCCTTCCATTCATTAGGCACTGTATGAGCTCTACAGGCTTATCACTTCCTGTAATTAAAATATAAGTCTGTCTGAATTGACCTGTTTGATATTCTTTTCAGCAGGCCACAGTCTACATTACTTATTGCACAAGCATTTATTTTCTTCTCATTGTCTCTAATTGTATGAATGGTGAATTCTCTCAGACCAAATGTGTGAGCAGTCTACATATCATGTGCACCACCTTGTAGTACATATATCTAAAAATCTCCACTTTCTTCAATACCATCAGGGTTTTATGCTTATTCTTCCACCTGGCACCTCCATCATCACTAGTATTCCTTTTGGGTGCCATGGTTTATATTCAGAGATGAGATGAGGTGGTTTGATAAACATACAGTGCTCATTATTAAAGTATGCCAGCTCTCTCTCAAACAACAGCCACAAAATATGTTGTCCCTTGCACTTTAGGACATTCTTTAACCATCATGGAAGTGATTAACACACATTCTTCAGGGTGTCTACTTGCTATCACCCAGGATGTACTCAGTCCCCTGGGATAGCAATAGGCTTACTACAGACTACATGCAGCACCATATATATATTGACACTTCATTGGGGAATAATCTTTGTCACTATCACTAGTCAACTGGTAATCAATTGCTAGGAAATCTAAGTCCACATTACTGTCATTGCCATTACTTGCTTTTGTGCCAAGGTCATAGGAGAATATGAGCTTTCACTTATAGCGTGATGGAGGTGGATGCATACCATACGAACCAGCCCTAGACTTGGATGGTTGTTGGTCATTAGGGTTTTTAGCATTATTTCTGGCCTCCAATGCATTATTTGCCTTCACTGAATGTTCGAAACTATAGAACCCATGCTCAGTTATGTATTATTTGTTATAAAAGCTGTTATTGGGGAATAATACCTAATATATTCACCTGAGAATGAGGCCTTAGCATCCACACAACATGGAGAACAAGGTGTACTAAATATGGTGCTCCCACAACCCCAATTTTTTGTATACACTGCTCACACTAACTGCACAGACCCTCTCTCTTATATGTAGGTTTACCAGGACTCTAGTGCTAAATTAGAAGCCACTAAATTTATGCATAGATTTGCATAAGTGATTCTGACATCATTGATGTAGATATACTTAAGTGACAGTGAAAGGGTTAATGTACAATACATCAGCTTGATGTATATAAGGGCAGTAGGTAAAAAGCAGACGCAAGTCACATAAAGAATATAGATTGTGATAATGTATTATCACAAATCATGAAATCATGAAAAATCTTTGTGACTGAGGCAAATTTTTTAAGACCTTAAACATATGGATGGGAAATTCTTTAAAAAGTTGTTCACAACATGTTCAGAATTGAAGTTTGCAGTGGTGACTTGGAGTCCCCACTTAAAAGAAATGAACTTGAGGACAAGCTAGAACAAAAAGTTCGAAGATAAATTTCAAAATGGCTCTCAGAGTCAAAAGATATTGGTTGTAAAATAAAGGGCTCTACTAAAAAAAAACTCGGTTGGAAAGAGAAGACACAACCAAATACATGTAAGATCATTAAAGATACAAAGGAAGAGATAAAGATAATTTCTTAAGTAACATCAGTAACAGGTAGAATAAGAGGCCACAGACAAAGTAGGCCCAAAACAATACTGCAGAAGAAAGTGGGGTAAAAGAGAAGATAGTTAATACTATTAGCATTGATAATTAAAAAATAATGTATATAATGTATTATATATTGAAGATGGGACAAAGAGCACAGCTTTGCTCCTGTAGCTACGTAGGTAATTATATGCACAGCACTATATAGGTAATTACTCATACACGGTATGCAAGTTTGGGTCGTCACTGCTTGGATGGGCAGCATTATGAGTGACAGGGCTGGTTGACCAGAGCATCAGCACCTTGGAATACCATAACACAAGTGTAACCCCTGCTGTGTAATGAAGGGTTTTAGTAGAGCCATTCTTGTGGTTTTTAATTTATGTATCTAAGTGATACATAAATTAAAAACCACAAGAAGCAAATCAGAAAAAGGAAATTTATGGATATTTAATGTATGGAATTATGGTCTCGTCAACATCTGAGTTTAGTTATTTTATAATTAAAAATAATTAAATATATTGAGGAAAATTGAAGACAGTTTGTCTTTGTATTTATTTATATTTTTAAAAATACAAATGTATTGGTTTTGGCTCATTTGTCAAATTCAAATGTTGATGTTACTCCTACTATTCTAGGTGCCTTATACTATATATAACTGTATAAGTTTGTTTATCTGAATTTACATTTTTGTGTTTGTATACTTGTGAGCATGTTGCTTGTATCTGTGTGATTGTATCTGTGTGCATGTGATTATGTGCGTGTGTGTGTGTGTATGTATGTACTGTATGTGTATACATGCATGTGTATGATTGCTTAAGTATTAATATACATGTATGTGCATGCAGGTGTACATGTGTTCTTGTCATTAAAATTTAATACTGTATTTAATTCCAATTTATTTAAATATTGTCTTTTCTTTCAAATTTATAGCTTTAGCCTATGTTCAACACAAACCTTAGGGCATTATGTGTATTATACTTATTATATTTAAGTTAAATATATAGCAGTGAAATTCCAGCAAGAAATATTCAGCAAAACATACCAATACACACACAATAAGTTGTTCCATACAGACATCTAATACTGACTAACTTCCATCTGCTCAACATACAACTCCCTTATACTTTAATTATGTTGTTTGTATCTGGGGACTAACAACATGTGTGTGTTTTCGTCCGTAGGGGTCCTTACCCAGCTCAAACGTAGCTTTACTGACCTCCGCCTGCATAGAGTGGAGGGTAAGGTCCATAGATCGGAGAGTAGATCGGGTAAGGCATTGTCCCAATGGTATTTGCTGTGTCCCCTAATTTTTATACATTTTTTCATAATTCCACTTATAATAATGTCTTGTTTTGATATCCGTACTTGAATTTTTTGATAGTAATACATACTGCCTATTGCAAATTTTGAGTCTTTTATATACAGTATCTCAAAAGACAACATTTTGATGCAGTATCCATGACTTGTAAAGTTTAATAGTGTTTTCTTTTGTCTAAAATGAATCTTCAAAACTAAATTTTTAGCCCCCCTGTAAAAAAATTTTGTGACCTAAGAAATTTCATTCAATCTTACATTTAATATCATAGAATTGTTTTGAAAAAGTTCCATATATTTTCCAGTAATGATGTATTGCTTATAATTTTTTAAATGTTACACACTTACACTGTGTTTTTTAGTGTTATTTAGTAGTAGTTGTCCCACTTTCCTTCCCATCATTACTACTACTACCACTATGACAACCAGTCAGCAACAACAATAACACCACAATTTGTATGTGTGCATTTTTTGCTGGAAAATTTTAGTGTTTTGATAGCATTTTATGTGTGTGAGAGTGTAGGCATGCGTGCATGCATGTCTGCGTGCACATGTTTGCGTGTGTGTGCATGTGTGTGTGCATATGTGCGTGTTTGTGTGTGTGCGTGTATGTGTGCATGTGTGTGCATGTGTGTGTGTGTGCACGTGTGCGTGTGTGTGCACGTGTGCGTGTGTGTGTGTGCATATGTGCGTGTGTGTTCTGTACTGTTGTCATTAGAAGCTATCATTCTCTAAAGCACTATGTGTTGACAATACTGCTTAGTTGTGTCTGCAATGATGTTTAGTGTTTGAGAACTGTTATATTTGTTCTGTACTCATCTGCTGTATTGCTGTATTGAAATTTTCAGGTATATTACTTACTTGCTCTAGATATGAATGCATGCAATCTTATTAAGCTCTTTAGTGCTTCAAAATGTTTGCTCATCATTGGTGTCTTATCTGTCCAGTACAAGAAGTGCATGTTCACATGAACTAGAGTATTGCTGTACTGGGATATGTAATCAAGTTTGTATTTACAACCAAAAAAGTCTAAATGTTATGGCCATAAATACCACTTAAATGCATCTTATAAAGGAAATTAAACGTATATGATTTGTTATAGTATATTACTCACTGCTCCCTCTAGAATATGGTTATTATTTTGTTGGTAATTACAATGTGCAAAATAGTTTGCTTTCATAGTAATTTACTTTCTGTCATAAAAATTCCACCTTGAATTTATTTTACCCCAGAATAAAAGCATGACTTTTCAGAAGAGCTGGGCAAAAATAGGCTGCATATTTATTACAACTCAGAGACTTAATAATGTAATTCATATACTGTAATTAAAACCCACTGATTTTTCTCAGTGTGAAATCATGTGGAAGTGTTTTTTGGAAATGGAAATATTAATTAATTATTTTTAGTTAAATTTTGTGCCATACTGGTACCATATTTCAAAACTAAGATAAACTGTTTCTTAAAAGATGCATTTAATTGATTACCATTTCAATTTCTGTAGTCTTGCTGTTAAATAAGTTATAAATTTACCTGTATAATCAAATATTTCACTGAAAAATATGCAAAAAGATAGAATCTGTGTGTCTGTTATGTTTATAAAATGCATTAATTATGAAATAATAATGAGCTTTTGTTAAATATTTTGCATCACATCTACATTAATTGTATTCTTACTAGGTTTATTCTCATGTACTAGATAAGTAGTTTAGCAAGATTCCCACTGATGGGATATTACAGTTTTTAATTTATTTTCATTTTGTACAAATTTTTGAGCATCTTCTTTCTCCTAATATAATAACAGTGCATACAGTTATTAGCAGAAAAATATTTCATTACATGTGTGTTTTGGATGGGTTAATAGGCTGGTTATTGTATGATTAAGAAGTTAGAAGTACTCACTAAAGTTGGAGACAACCCTTTGTTTTAACTCTGATTCTCAGAGGCCTGCTTGTGAAAATATAGGTTAAGCATTTGTATTATTTTTTACAGCAGTGTATGACTAATGGAGAAAATAAAGCTGCACACATTTATAAAAACATTAAAAATACTGTACTTTACATCTTAGGACTGTTGATTTACAGTACGTATTTTAGTAATTTATATAGGTTGTTGAATTTTCTGGCTTACTGTAATAAGAAAAATATTCTGATTAAATTCATATTAGATTCAGTGGTTGTTTGGTTTAGTTCATAGGAGATTTTATAGAAACTCATTTATTCATAATCTTCAGAGTTGTCTTAATTTTTATGAGGGAAAAGCTAAATGGTGTATGCTATTGTGTGACAGATCCATTTGCTTTTTTGTTGACTGCACATTAACTTATACCTGTTTTTTAAGTCTTTTTCTATTATAGTTTAAATATTTTGGCATGATGTTTGCTGCTTTAAGTTTGTAGGTAACATTGATGCATTATTTAGTATCTTAGGTATCATGCAGCATTAAATGTTGCACTTTAAACATCACAAGTATAAAGGTTAATCATTTAATATTAGCCTTGTCGTAGAATATATTGTAAGTAACCAGAACCATAACCATCAGCCAACACTACCACCAACACTGCCTTCACCTTTCACTTGTTTATGTTAGAAACTTAATATTCCTTTCTGGCTCATCAAGATATTCTTCCACAGTTCTATACAGTATTTAACTTAGTTATAAATAAATTTTTTAAATATCTTATTAAAGTGTAGTATGACATTAACAAAAACAACAGCAAAATGTTATGAACCTTATTCCTTTATGCTGTTAAACAAAGATCTATGCAAGTATCTGTTTCTATGTTCTGGTTAAATTTTTTTAATCCTTTCTCCCTAGAATTTAAAGTAACCATTAATCTGTAATCTGTAGATTTTAAAATTTTTTATGGAATAAAGAATTATATAAAATATCACAGAAAAATCAAAATCAGTGCATGATGCATGGTGCTACCAAAAATTGATGCATGATATATTAAATAAAAATATGCATCATGAAACTGCTGTCTCAAAACGGTGGAAGAGCTTTAAATCTTCTTCGTCTCAACACCTGTACCTGAGAGATGATTTGATTTAACTTGTTGCATAAGTGGTGTATGTACTTGCTAACCAATAGTAAACTTAAAAATATCTAACATTGCATGCACACTTATCCTCTCACTGAACATGACTAGCCAACAAAAGGTGTGCTAATACTTAGTACAAAAGTGTATAACACTAACATCAAGTATTGTATTCAAAAGTACAACAAAAGCTGTCTCCTTAAGTAGGAAATACCAAATTAAGTGACTCAGTTGAATTTGGATTATACATGGGTCTCTTTGATACAGTAAATCCACATATTATGTTTGTCTTATTGTCAAAGTCCTCAGAACTTAAAGAAAATGCCAAACAGAATGTGATAGGCTGCTGCCTTTTTAGAAATTTGCTTATGGATACCTTTGAATTCACTGTATTTTTTAAATTACATTAATTTCCTTAAAAAAAAAAAAATATTACTATATTTATTAATGTAGTATATAATTTCAGTTTCATTTTTAATCAATACAGTTAAACACAAGTTCGGAGCATTTACAAATCAATAATTAAATTTTTAGATTATTATAGGAGAATGTTATTGAAATGGATCCCATTTGGACCTATCAACTCACTTTTTCAAGGCCAGTTCTTTGTTTGCTTCTCAAGTATCCAAGTTGATAATAGCCCCCTTGTAGTATTCCATTAAATCACAACTGTGTCAAAAATTCCAGTGCACCCTTTTTGCATAGGGTTTGAAACTCCCTTATCACAAACTGTACGAAGCCATTCCCCCGACCCGCTCTCTTGCTCCCTCACCCCCCTACGCCCACAATGAGGTCTTATGTCCCTCAGGAGCCCTCTCAAGTATGACCTCGGCGTTGGGTGTTGGAGGACGAGAATCAAGGTCAGCGTCCAGATGTTCCTCTCCGGGGCCCCACGGAAAAGAGGATGCCCCACTCCTCACAAATGCCGCCCCTAGTAAGTCCTAAACTCCTCCCCCAATGCAAACTCCTCAGGGCTAGCTCTCACCATACAAATGCTACCCCTAGTAAGTCCTAAACTCCTTCCCTAATGCAAACTCCTGAGGGCTAGCTTTCACCATACAAATGCTACCCCTGGTAAGTCCTAAGCTCCTTCCCCAACACTAAATCCTCAGGGCTGGCTTTCACCATGCAGATACTACCCCTGTTGAGTCCTAAATCCATTTCTCAATGTTAACTCTCTCCTACTGCTAGTTTTCTAAGTGATAGTCTACCTCTTCCATTGTAGTGGCTCCTTTCCATCTACTAGCTTCCATCCCACTGCTACTACTTTTTCACTGCTTTCTCTTTGCCTATTACATGCTCATCTCCACTCATAATTTCTGTGACTCTGTCACACTGATGCTAGTTCCTTCCTAGTGCTATGAACTCTGCTAGTGCCTTCTCAGTATTTAGTTATTTTTCTAGTTCCTACTCATTGCTACTAGATATTCTAATGACAATTACTTACCAGTGCTAGCTCCTTCCTGGTGCTAGTACCTTCCCAGTGATAGCTCCTTCCTGGTGCTAGTATCTTTTCAGCATTAACTCCTTCCTGGTGCTAGTACCTTTTTAGCATTAGCTCCTTCCTGGTACTAGTACCTTCCCAGTGTTAACTCCTTCCTGGTGATAGTACCTTCCCAGCATTAGCTCCTTCTGGTTGCTAGATCTTCTGTGCTAGGTAGTTCCTTCCCAGTGCTTGGTCTTTGTCCTATTAGTGTTAGTACTTTTTCATTGCTAGAACCTTCCCAGTCCTACTTCACTTCAAGTGCTAGTACCTTCTCAGTGCTAGTTCCATCCCAGTGTTAGTTCAATTCCTGTGCTACTACTTTCCCATTGCTAGAACCCTTCTTGTGCTAGTACCCTCTGTGTGCTAATACCTTCCCTGTGTTAGGCACTTTTCAGTGCTGATACCTTCATGGTGCTGGTTCTTTCCTTGTGCTAGTACCTTGCTTGTGTTAATACCTTCCCTGTGCTAGTATCTTCCCTGTGGTAGTACTTTCCCAATGCTAGCTCTCTCTGTGTTATTCCTTCCCAGTGCTAGTCTTTCCATTGCTGGTTCCTTCCCAGTGCTAGTAATTTCCATGTGGTACTTTTTTCTCATTGCTAGCTCCTTCCCAAATGCTAGTTCCTTTCCATTGTTATTATCTTTCTATTGTTAGTTCCTGTCCTGTGCTAGGATCATCTCTGTGATAGTAATTAACCTGTGCTAGTACTTAACCTGTTGGTATCTTCCAGTGCTAGCAATTAGCCTGTGCTAGTATCTTCCCAGTGTTAAAAAATTTCTAGTTCTAGTAATTAATTATATTGGTATCTACCCTGAGCTAGTATATTCCCTGTTCAAGTTCGTAACCTGGGCTAGTACCTAGGTACCAGGTAAACCTGTGCCAGTATCTTAACTATGCTAGTAGATTCCCAATGCTAGTTCCTTTCCAGTGCTAGTACCTTCCCATTGCTAGTCCATTATCAGTGCTGGTACCTTCCAATTGCTAGTATGTTTCCAGTGCTAGTTCCTCCCTGTGTTACTACCTTCCAATTGCTAGTACTTTTCCAGTACTAGTAATTAACCTCTACTAGCTACTACCTTGTATATTCCTAGTGTTAGTGCCTTTCCACTTCTAGTATCTTCCCATTGCTAGTTCTTTTTTGTGCTAGTGACTTCCCATTTTTAGGTCCTTTTCATTACTAGTGCTCAGTACTAACACCTTTCCAGTGTTAGATCCTTTCTAGTTCTAGTACCTTCCCAGTGGTAGTACCCTCACAGTACTAGTACCTTCCCAGTGCTAATGCCTTCTCAGTGTTAGCACCTTCCCTGTGCTAGTTAATAACTTTCCAGTGCTAGTACCTTCCCAGTGCTAGTACCTTCCCTATGCTAGTACCTTCTCAGTTTTAATACCTACTCATTACTAGTATCTCCCCAATACTATTACCTTCTAAGTGGTAGTACATTTTGCAGAGCAAATACCTTCCCTGTGCTAGTACCATCCCCATTCTAATATCTTCATTAAGCTAGTACCTTCCCTATGCTATTACATTCCCTATGTTATTACCTCCCCTGTGCTGGTACCTTCCCTGTGCTAGTGCCTTCCCTATGCTAATACCTTCACTATGCTAGTACCCTCCCTGTGCTAGTACCTTTCCTGTGCCAATACCTGCCCTGTGCTAGTACCTTCTCTGTTCTAGCACTTTTATTATGGTATTACCTTCCCTGTGCCAATACTTTCCCTGTGCTGTTACCTTCTCTGTGTTAGTACCTTCCTTGTGCTGTTACCTTCCCTGTGCTAGTACATTCCCTGTGCTATTACCTTCCCTTTGCTTGTACCTTCTCTTTGCTTGTACCTTCCCTGTGCTGTTGCCTTCCCTGTGGTAGTACCTTCCCTGTGCTAGTACCTTCTCTGTGCTGTTACCTTCCTGGAGCTGTAACCTTCCCTGTGCTAGTGTTTTCCCTATGCTGTTACCTTCCCTGTGCTGGTACCTTCCCTGTGCTAGTAACTTCCCCATGCTGTTACCTTTCCTGTGCTAGTACCTTCCCTGTGCCAATACCTTCCCTGTGCCAATACCTTTCCTATGCTAGTACCTTTCCTGTGATAGTATCTTCTGAATATACACATCTTCACATTTTTGTATCTTCCCTGGCCTAGTACCTTCCCAGTGCTAGTTCCTTCTCAGTCTAATATCTTCACACTGCTAGTTTCTTCCCTATACTAGTACCTTCCTTGTGCTAATACCTTCTCTATGCTAGCACCTTTCCAGTGCTAGTACCATCCCAGTGCTAGTGTTTTACCTGTGCTAGTACATAACTGTGCTAGTACCTTCCTTGTGCTAGTATCTTTCCTGTGCTGTTACTTTTCATGTACTAGTACCTTCCCAGTATTAGTGCCTTGACAGTACTATCTATGAACAAGTACCTTCCTAGTGCTATCTTCTTAGTCCTAGTTACTTCCCATTGACAGCTCCAAGACAGTGACAGCTCCATCGCAGTGACAGCTCCACCACAGTGACACCTCCATGGTGACAGCTCCATCACAGTGACAGCTTCAAGACAGTGACAGCTACACCACAGTGACAGCTCAACAACAGTGACAGCTTCATCACAGTGACAGCTCCACCACAGTGACATCACCACAGTGACAGTTCCACCACAGGGACATCTCCACCACAGTGATAGCTCCACCACAGTGACAGTTCCACCAGAGTGACAGCTCCACCACAGTGACAGCTCCACCAGAGTGACAGCACCACCACAGTGACAGCTCCACTGCAGTGACAATGCCACCATAGTGACAGCTCCACCACAGTGACAGCTCCATATCATTGACAGCTCCATAACATTGACAGCTTCACCACAATAACAGCTCCAAGACAGTGACAGCTCAACCACAGTGACAGCTCCACAACAATGACAGCTTCACCACAGTGACAGCTCCACTACAATGACAGCTCCAAAACAGTAACAACACCACAGTGACAGCTCCACTACAGTGACAGCTTCACCACAGTGACAGTTTCACCACAGTGACAGCTCCACTACAATGACAGCTCCACCATAGTGACAGCCCACCACAGTAACAGCTCCAAGACAGTGACAGCTGCACCACAGTAACAGCTCAAGACAGTGACAGCTCTACCACAGTAACAGCTCCAGGACAGTGACAACTTCACCACAGTGACAGCTCCACTACAATGACAGCTCCGAAGCAGTAACTCCACCACAGTGACAGCTCCACCACAGCAACACCACCACAGTAAACAGCTCCAAGACAGTGACTGCTCTACCACAGTGACAGCTCCATAACAGTGACAGCTTCACCAGAGTGACAGCTCCATCACAGTGACAACACCACAGTGACAATACCACCACAGTGACACTACCACCACAGTGACACCACCACCACAGTGACAGCTCCACCACTGTGACAGCTCCACAACAGTGACAGCTCCACCACAGTGACTGCTCTACCACAGTGACAGCTCTACCACACTGACAGTACCACCACACTGACAGCTCCACCACACTGACAACACCACCAAAGTGACAGCTCCAACACAGTGACAGCTCCACCACAGTGAGCTCCACCATACTGACAGAACCACCACAGTGACTGCTCCAACACAGTGACAGCTCTACCACAGTGACAGCATTAACATATTGACAGCTCCACCACAGTGACATATCCACTGCAGTGACAGCTCTACCACAGTAACAGCTCCACCACAGTGACAGCACCACCACAGTGACAGCTCCAGCACAGTGACAACACCACCACAGTGACAGCACCACCACAGTGACTACACCACCACAGTGACAGCTCCACCACAGTGACAGTACCACCACAGTGACAGTTCCACAGTGACAGCTCTGCCACAGCAACAGTTCCACCACAGTGACAGCACCACCACAGTGATAGCTCCACCACAGTGACAGCTCCATCATAGTGACAGCTCCACCACATTGACAGCACTACCACAGTGATGGCTCCACCACAGTGACAGCTCCACCACAGTGACAGCACCACTACACTGAAAGCTCCACCACAGTAACATCTCCACCACTGTAACAGCTCTGCCACAGTGACAGCTTCACCATAGGGACAGCATACAGTGACAGCACAACCACAGTGACAGCTCCACCACAGTGACAACTCCACCACAGTGACAGCACCACCACAGGGACAGCACAACCATGGTGACAGCACCACCACAGAGACAGCATCACCTCAGTGACAGCTCCACCACTGTGACAGCTCCACGAAAGTGACAGCACCATCAGAATTACAGCTCCACCACATTGACAGCTCCACTACAATGACAGCTCCATCACAGTGATAGCTCCACCACAATGCTAGTTCCACTGCAATGACAGGCTCACCACAATGACAGCTCCACCACAGTGACAGCTCCACCACAATGCTAGCTCCACCACAATGACAGCTCCACCACAATGACAGCTCCACCACATTGCTAGCTCCAAGACAATGCTAGTTCCACCATACTGACAGCTCCACTACAGTGCTAGCTCCACCACAATAACAGCTCCACCACACTGACAGCTCCACCACACTGACAGCTCCACCACACTGACAGCTCCACCACACTGACAGCTCCACCACAATGACAGCTTCCCTTGTAGTGTAAAGTTTGATTGCTCATGTACATTGTTTACTCACGTTTTGTACAAACAAATGCATTCATTTTTCTCCAAAGCATTAACAAATAATAAAGTTTCAAATTCCTTGTGCATTATTTACATTCTGTAATTCCCTGGCTCCCAATCATAATTAATTTTATTCATAATATGTGCATAGCACAGTCATCAGTAAAGTGACCTTCATAATATATACCTTGGATAGTAAGAAAGCACCTCTCCCAGTAGCTTCTCAGTTGATGCATCTTTCCTGATATTACTATATCCCCAGGTATACTTCTAGTACTACCCACCTTGTAAGTTAGTCAACATTTTACGTTCCCCAGTGGTAACATTTAATTTCGGCTAACGCAATTCCCTCCATTCCCTTTTTCTTTAAGTTATAGCATGTTCTCTCTTATATTGGCTATTTTACTACTACCATTCCTGTTTCTCTTACTCTGTATATCTCCACCTTCATCAAACCCCATTTCTTTATCAACATGTCCTACATTCCTTCATTTTTAACCCTTGTACCCATCCTGCCTGTGATAGAGCATTCTTGCTCTTCATAGTATGGCATGAAGGAATTTTCTTGATGCATTAGCCAAATATTACTATTGAACAAGTCACGATATAATTGTTTCAAAAAATATTAAATACTCCTAATGGTAATGGCATTGCTCCTCTATAAACTTATAAAGTTCTGAAAATTGAGATGTTTCCTTAAATTTATACCATAAATAAGGCAGACATCCACTTCCATTGCACCTGTTTAAAATAATCATCTTCATAACCACTTCAGAGTTTATAAATTCTTGTGGTACAAATGCAGCGGTTATATCAATGATCCTATCTCACCTTAGAAAAATATAGACATGTATCATGTTTAAAAACAGTACAGTAAGTTCACTTATTCAAATACTCTTTGTTCAGTGACATTCGAGAGTATATACTCAGCTTCCTAAATTATCAAGAAATAATGCTATTGATTAACCATTAATACTGGGATTACTGCTGAGAAAAATGTTTTTATGAAAATTTACAAAGATTGGTCACTGCTACATTGATTTTTCTTGTAATATCCAGCACCATCAACATTGGTATGATTTTAAACCATAAAACATTTTTCATAAACCTCAACTCTTACCTGTTACAGACATTCTCATCTTTTATGACAGTCATTCATGTATCTGATAACTCTGTGATTTTATTTTTCTTACTGTATTATATATATATATATATATATATATATATATATATATATATATATATATATATATATATATATATATATATATATATATATATATATATATATATATATTATATATATATATATATATATATATATATATATTTATTTTTTTTTTTTTTTTTTGCTTAATATGAGTTTTGTGCTTCTTTATAATAATTTTCTTTTAATTTATTTCTTTAATGAAAATAATATTTATTATAGGTCATCCCAATAACAAGTTTCGTAAGCTATCTTATGGCTTAAAAATTAGAGCAGATACTTTGTAATTTTGAAAATAGATCCATAGCTAGTATATTCTTCTTAGTACAATATTTTTTTTTTTTTTGAGACATGATGTGGAGCACCTGTAAGCCAGTATTGCGCCCTTTAATTACCCCTTTTTACCTGAATGACCTCGTCTGGCCTGGTAGTTGCAGGTAGTGCCAGTCCCGAGCGACGACTCCATGCCCGTCACTCCAGTCTGACCTTACCCGTCGAGAGTCAGCCTAGTACTGGCCACACCCAGGCCCGGGAGGTCACAGAGGTCAACTTGCGCCTCGATGCCCTCACCAGGTAGTGGCTACTCATTGTGGAGGCTTTTCTGCATTTGTTATAGATTTTTCTTAGTGATTCCTTTTAATTGAGTCAAATTTAAGATTTGATATTTCCTTTTAATTTGCTTGCTTTCTTTGTGGGTAATGCACTTCCTTTAGTAATATTGCTAGCTTCCTACAACCTCATTTCATGCCCTTTTGACCTAGAATTCATATTTTTTTCACCAGCACAAAACATATTTTACATTTTAATCCTGCAGTAAAAAGTGAAAATTAGTAATATCTGTGCAGAGGCATTATCATTGAAAGATCAAGTATTACTTTACTGTACTAAATTAATGACAATAATATAATACAAATGTATGTATGTATATATATATATATATATATATATATATACAGTGGACCCCCGCATAGCGACCTTAATCCGTGCAAGAGGGTTGGCTGTTATGCGAAATGTTCGCTATGTGAATGAATTTTCCCCATAAGAAATAATGGAAATCAAATTAATCCGTGCAAGACACCCAAAAGTTTGAAAAAAAAAATTTTACCACATGAAATATACATTTTTTTACACACAAAGAGAAGGATACATGCACAATAGTAGAGTAGTACATGCACAATATATATTGTGCATGTACTACTCTACTAAATGAAGAATAAATGACACTTACCTTTATTGAAGATGCAGCAATGACTGATGAGACACTGTGTCCTGGGAGTGCCTTTTCCTCCTGAGTACTGTAGGTCCTGTTTGGTATTTTCTTCCAGAACAGGCCTTATCACACTGTGTATGTCACTACGATTCTTAAATCTCTCAAACCAACCTTTGCTGGCTCTAAATTCACCAATATGAGCACTAGTTCCAGGCATTTTCCCTGTTCACCTGGGTGTTAGTCGACTGGTGTGGGTTGCATCCTGGGAGACAAGATTAAGGACCCCAATGGAAATAAGTTAGACAGTCTTCGATGACACTGACTTTTTTGGGCTATCCTGGGTGGCAAATCCTCTGGGGTTAATTGTTTCTTGGTATTCTCAATAAGCCACACCAACAACGGTGCTACAGCAGCAGCAGCAGCAGCTGACGATGTTACAGCAGCAGCAGACGATGTGCACAGCAGCAGCAGACGATGCTACAGCAGCAACAGACGATGCTACAGCAGCAGCAGATGATGCTACAGCAGCAGCAGCAGCAGACAATGCTACAGCAGCAGCAGCAGCTGACGGTGGTACAGCAGCAACAGACGATGCTACAGCAGCAACAGACGATGCTACAGCAGCAGCAGACGATGCTACAGCAGCAGCAGATGATGCTACAGCAGCAGCAGACGGTACTACAGCAGCAGGAGCAGCTGACGGTGGTACAGCAGCAGCAGCTGACGGTGATACAGCAGCAGCAGCAGCTGTACCACCAATAGTAGCGATGGTTGATTGGGGTTTATTATACAACCTGGCCAGCTCGGAGACACGCACTCCACTTTCATACTTATCAATGATCTTTTTCTTCATCTCCATAGTAATTCTCACCCTTATTGCTGTAGGGTTGGCACTAGAAGCTTTCTTGGGGCCCATGGTCACTTATTTTCCAGAAAAAAATCACCAAAAACACTGTAATAATACAAAATGTTCCGATTGTATGCTTGGATGTTACCGCAGAGGCTGGCTGGTAAACAATGCCACCCGCGGAACATGTGAGCGTGGCTCAAGCGCACATTGGACGCGTCTCGGACGAAGGCCGCTGAGCGGGTTTTTGTCCACTATGCGGGGCAAAATTTTAGCGATCAAAGCGTCCGCTATACGGATTGTCCGCTATGCAAGGCGTCCGTTATGCGGGGGTCCACTGTATATATATATATATATATATATACATGTACAGTATATATATATATACACACACACACACACATACACATACATACATACATACATACAGATATATAGCCTCTCCTCACTTAGCGACATTGTCGTTTACTGACGACTCAGACTTACGACAGGCTCTCTGACCAGTATTCATATGTAAATAATGTACAATAGGGCCCACTTATATGGCAGGTTAGGTTCCAGGCTACTGCCGGAAAGTGGACATCACCAGAAAGTGGAATGCCATTAAAAAACAATAAAAAGTAAAATTACCTGGAGAGAGTTCAGGGGGTCAACGCCCCCGCGGCCCGGTCTGTGACCAGGCCTCCTGGTGGATCAGAGCCTGATCAACCAGGCTGTTACTGCTGGCTGCACGCAAACCAACGTACGAGCCACAGCCCGGCTGGTCAGGAACCGACTTTAGGTGCTTGTCCAGTGCCAGCTTGAAGACTGCCACAGTACACTCATTACTTACCTCAAAATATTTGTAGTCTTAATGTAGGGTTAGAAGTGAGTAGTGTTTATTGTAAGAAGTCAGGTGTGGTAGGTATGGTAGCCAGCCAGGCCACCCTACCCTACCCCACCCACACTTAATATACTTCGACATTTAAAGAGCCCTAGAGTGATAAAATGCATATAGTGTACACTCATTATTTACCTTAAAATATTTGTAGTCTTAATGGTCTTTATATAGGGTGCAAGGTGAATAGTATTTATTTGTAGAAAGTCAGGTGTGGTAGGTATCGTAGCCCATCTGGCCACCCCACCCACACACATACTAGGCATTTAAAGTGCCCTAGAGCGATAAAATGCATATACAGTGCACTCATTACTTACCTTAAAATATTTGTAGCCTTAATGTAGGGTGAGAGGTTAGTAAACAGGATAAAACTAATAAACGAAAGAGAGGGAGAGAATGAGTACATGAGAGAGGACAGATGCAGAGTTATGTAAACAAAGCAGCTGAACACATATGGTTCTGGTTCATACATTTGTATTATACCATAATACAAACACTTTACATTGTGTACAAGTTGTCTGCACATTGATACAGTAGAGTAAATCAAGAGCAACACTCCCATTCTCATGTAACACCAGTTTTAGAAGAAATGACACTCTGAGTGAAGGCATACGAAAGGAATAATTTTCTACAGTTACCCCCAGTAATATTATTGTGTACACATTTTCTTTGGTGTTGAAGAGAAAATGTTGTTCTTTCCGACACTCCAGCAAGATGATTAGAAAAACATCTCATATTTATGTTAATTTATTCTTCTGTGGGTGCATTTATCATGTTTATTCATTATGTAGTGTGTTTATTATATAATTTTGAAAAAAAATATCATAGATGGATTAAGCAGAATGTCTATACAGTAGAACCTTTACTTGCGAGCGTGTCCACATGCGAGTTTTTTTAAATACGAGCAGTCGATGGGTCGAGTTTTTGCTTCCATATGCGAGCAAAATTTCCATAAGCGAACAGACCTCAAGGCAGGTTCCTTGACACTGGTGAGGGGATCTTGCTCTTGATCTCGGGAATTGTATCTTATTTGTTTGTTGGACTATCTTATTGAAACTTGGGCAAAGTATGATGGAAAGATGCTTCTTAATGTACACCAAAAATGAAAGAAATAGTTTTTATGATTGTATTCTTTTTTTTTGGTCTCATTTGATAGAATGGAAGATATATTACAAAAATAGATATGATTTTGATTGCTTTCACAACGAAAAGTACCTTGAAATTGAGCTCAGTGTAGGAAAAATGGTCCATTGCTTGGCTGTGTCAGAGTAAACAAATGACGTCAATGTCCATACCAATATACAGTCGTGAATGGGTTGACATTATTTATACAATTATTTCAATAAGGAATAACAGTAAATCTTATATTTTTTGTGTGAATAAAAATTACAAATTATTTATATGATAATAATAATAATAATAATAATAATAATAATAATAATAATAATAATAATGAAAGAAATCTAAGCATAAATAATGGAGTTCACATCTCAGCAATTAGCCACCCCTTAGCGGTATTTTCGTATGGTTTTTATGGTTGTATTCTCTTTTTTTGGTCT